TCAGTTTTGAGGTTAGATTTAAATCGAATTTTTACGCGCCAAAATTTAAAGAGAACCAAGTACAGAAGCGCCCTCTTCAACTCAATTGTCAATATTACATGCCATTCATTCGGTAGGCTGTCACGCCATAAATGTCAAATTACGCTCATGAGAAACCGCCCTTAGGGAAGTATGACACAATTGACACATCACATAACCCAGGGCCGAGTTCAGAAATAACGCACAGGGCGTCGCACCGGTGTCACACTCACACTGGGTGTGTCATTCCTGAACTCGCCCCACCATAATTAGAGCAGCTTTTAGTATGGGGGTGTGACGCTCGAAGCTACTGTACGTACGGACCGTCATGATACTAGAACAGGACCGAGTTCAAAAATAACGCACGGGGTGCGAGTGCGATTTTATGGGTGTGCCTGAATTGACAATTGGTCATTGGACCCATAGCACCGTCTAGCAATTTTGAACAGCTAGGGCGTCGCACCGGTGTTACACTCACACTGAGTCTGTTATTCCTGAACTTGCCCCAGTACAAATCTAATGCGTAGCGCTCCTGAGGTGTTCTAGAGCATGCCAATGTGCATACTGGAAAGCAGCTCAGATTATGCTTGTTTTATCCTCGCGAAAAATTGCCTAAAATCTGCTTTCCGGGGTTGAAGATTTTGGAGCGAGTTCCATTTACTCGGTTCCATATGACCGAACTTGAACCGAACCAGAGTACTTAGAATGCTCGGAGTGAATATGTCGATCCCCCTTCACTTAAAACTATACCTTTTCCAATGAATTTCAATTCTATTTGGAACGTAGCAATTTCAAATTGGGATTAATCAACTTTTTTAATAGGGTACTTGCATGAAAAATTAAATTGATTATTTTGTATTGCAGATTGCAGACTGTAGGAAATCGAAAAAAAATCGATGCGTGTTTTTTTATTTTGTCCAAACATGATTATTTCGGAAGTTATACAAATATTGAGTTTTTGTATATATAGATATACTGAGCATGTGCGACGTCACAACGTATTATACCTAAGTTATGACGTCGGAAGGACATTTCAAAGCGTTGTATCTCCGTCAATTTTTGACTAACAAGAAAAAGAAAAAACACGTGTTGACTTATTTTTCATGGACTATCGAAATCAGCAATAAAAAAATTTGATGCAAGGATGCTATTGGCAACTAACACGTTCAAAGTGGGAATAAACAAAGTCAAATTGGAAATAAACAATTTAAATTTGGTACTAATCAACTTCAAATTGGAATTGTTGAATAAATTCCAAAGTTTTGCAAGTCAAACGGCAGTTACTTTTAAACTGTATTTTAATTTAACAAAATGCAGCAAAAAGCTGTTTTTAATAACAAAGGCGACTGAAAGGATTGGCTAACACACTGGGTATAAAAAAATCTACAGCTTATTGATGGGTAGGAGGTACCCAAGAAGTTGTTAGAAGCAAACGTGGGGGACAAATAAAAGCAAACATAAAGTATCAATGACTGGATACATAGAGGAAATTGCTGTTATTACGCTGAAATAAAAGATATTTTCGAACAAAATCTCATTTTGATGAAATTTTTTCATTCGAGCTCAATGGCTGTCGTAAGTTGGAATCTCTTTCTGACATCTGGTAGCAGACTGCTACCAGAATCGGACATGGAATAGGGTGACCATATTTTTTTTGTATGTACACATCTAAAATTTTGGGACAGATGAGTGGAAAAAGCACTAAATGCAAATTTTGTCGATTTTATAGCCCGTTATTATACCACCTAACAAAAAAAAAAAACGAAAGACATAACATAATAGGTCTGTTGTTCGCTCGCACAGAAATCACAAACCAGTCAGAGTGAATTTCATTGGTTGAAACCAAGGTTTTTTCAAAGAGGTAGGTTGGCTGATAACTTTTAAGACGTCATCTGGATGTCTAAACATAATGCAAATCTTCATTAAATCTTCCTGATGACGCCATCTGTTTACCATTACCAGACAACCTATTAATTTTAGGAACCCTTGGGTTAAAACTAGTTTTCTGACTGTTTCTGACTTTGTGACTATTTTCAACCAATGAAATTCGCGTTGACTGGTTTGTGATTGCTGCAGAAACAGACCTATCATGCTGTGTCTTCTTCTTAGCAGCGAGGAATAGAGAGATAAAAAAGGTAGTTAGCATTAAAAAAAAAAAACTCTGGGAGATGATGATGGCGTAACTATGATCGGATCCGAATCGCTGTACGTTTGCTGTACAAAATCAAATGCTGGACAGACTTTGAAAATGCTGTACAATACAGCGAAATGCTGTACGTATGGTCACCCTAACATGGAAGCACCTCTGAAGATGCTAGCCACGCGCGCGTGCTAGCGAAACGTCATAATTCAGGAGGAAATTCCAAAGTAGGACGGCCATTAAGCCCGAAGGAAAACATTTCATCGATAAACCCGGACCGCGAAAGCCTCACAAACTTTATCAAAATCTCATTTCATTACTGTTCAAAGTTCCTTTTTCATTAATGTATGATTTTCTTTACTAACAATCTTTCATTTATATTAATACCTACCTAAATTAAATAGGTCTATTCCCAATTTGAATTTTGAAGTTGAAAAGGTATAGAAATCAACTCAAGAGGTTTTTAAATATATTCAAAAATACATTGCCAAATAAATTTAAGAGAGAAACAGTTTCATCTCGACACATTACATGTTACTTCGAGTTATTTGAAAATTGATCTGCCTTCGTGCATTCTTTTTCTTTGACTCGGTCGGGTATCGTATGATAAGAGTTTGGAGGTTTCGACAGTTTCGAACACTAGAGCTACTCGCTCCGGTGTTAGTCGACCCCGATTTGAAAGGAACAGATGCGCTGACTTTCGTGCATTTAAATGGTTCGATTCGGGCTTGAACACTTCAGGTGCAACAAAACCTTAAGGCTCATCCTCAATCAATTTAGTAGCGAAGTGGCACTTCGGCACACAAGCTAGGAAAATGTTGTTTAACGTTGGCATCCTCAATTCAATTCCGTGCTGGCATGCACGTCGACTCCAAAGTGAAGGATCATAGAACATATCACCTCTAGAAAAGTATCTGCAATGTTATGTACCGGTTATGAATTACAGCGACATCGTTGACTGAAAATCCAACTAATCGAGCATTCTTGACAAAAAGGCGAATTGATTTTTTTCATATATTTTTATTATTTTTAAATAATTTTTAATGTTCAATTGCATTTGGTTTGCTGACTCCTTTTAGCTCTTTTCGCTTCATTTTTTTGAAAACTATGACTGGCAGGAAGTTTCCGATGTCGAACATAGTGCAAAAAGAGTTAGTAAGTTAGCAAGAGACACGCAGCTATAGGTAGATCGCAAAGTAAATACGAATAATAAATACAAATACGAACGAAACGAAACAAACGAGTAAATAAAAAGGTTTTTTTCAACCAAAACTTTTTGAATTTTCACTTTAACGCGCGTGGGGACCATAGTTTACAACAACACAATTTAAATTTAAAAATTCAAATTTTGACTTTTAAAATGACAAAATAAATGACAAAACCAACCAACACAAATCACTGTCCACACCACAGATACCTGTAAATTTCTCTTATCTCCCGACAGTGTCGCCATCGTTGACTAGAAACCTAACTAAAAACCTTCGTCGCGATTCTCCCATTTGAGATATTTTTCTATAGGTGATATGTTCTGTGGTGAAGGATGCAAGCTGCCAGCTTTTTCGATGCGTGCCGACTTATGTCATGCGCAGTACGTTAAAAAATTAATTTAGGTTATACTTGCGTTCGGTATTTTGCTCAAAGAGCAGAGTGGAGCCGTAATCACGTGACCAGCGAGCGCACAGAGCAGTTAAACGCTGTATCGGAGGGCTCGAAATTTTATTAAACGAACGTGAATGAGCCTGCACCGAGTACACTTTTTGAATGAACGAACGGTAAATTTATGCTCAGAGAACTCAGATCAAAATACCGAATGCACTGTATGTGACCGTACTACACGCACAGCAGACTGAAAATTGACTGCATTGAGGATGGGTATAAATTTTCCAGCACGCGTGCCAAAGTGCCACTTCGCTAACAGATTGATTGAGGATGTAGCTTTAGCCGCTTTCCAGCTGTGTGCTTCAAGCACGGTGCAGCACAGTGTTCTGTGTTTGAAACGCAAAAGTTAGCAGCTCTCGAAGTGCAGAACGGCTGGAATACGAACACGCGCTTGAAGCCTTTGCACGCGCAAATCTCGATTGCGTGCTCAAGCTTCAGCTGGAAAGCGGCTCTTTTCGACAGGAATAAGCGCGTAACGCCCCGGAGCTGTTTCGGAGCTCTTCCTAGGTGTGAAAGGAATACAACTATTTATAAGCTCCCATAAAATGCACTTGCACCGCTGAAAATCATGGTTCTTAAAAAATTTACCCGATTAGAAATTACTACACTGACCGCACTAGGTTCGGGTAGTCGAACTGTCGAAAATATGAAATTTGCTCGCTCATGGCCTAAACCGACCAGAACACGAATTATTGCACTGTACTGCACTCTCAAAATACAAGCTGAGCGATGAGCGAGTACTGTGCAGAAATACGGTAACAATTTTTAGCGTGCAAGTGCATTTTGTGAAAACTTGACCTCAGGAAGAACGAGTATCGAATATCATAATACAAATTCGTACAAAAACTATTAAAAATTTTGTAGTAATCTAGCTAATCTACTTTATATAGTGCAATTGCACGATCAAGGTTCAAAAATGTGCAGAGCCAGAACAGGACAGTCGAATGATATTTTTCGATTGAATCGTAAATATATAAGACGCGAAAGAAGTTATATTTGTGTCTACTAGACCTGCTCAAAGCAGATCGACTCCTATTTGCAAAACATTGAAACAACTGTTCTCATGAGAATGCAGCTACCCCGTCTCGATAACTTGGTTCCAGAACTATTTCGATCAGATCTAGCAGGTACAAATGAAAGCCCCTAACATCTAAACATAATAATCATAACCTCAAAAGAAACAAAAAAATTAAAAAATCTTGGCTGGATTTTGGAGCCTTTCTGTTTCAAGAATCAAATTTTGAAATTTAAAAAACTACATTATGTCTGCATTAAAACGGGTGCAAGTAAGTGTTATGCACGTCTCAAGTTTTACAGAACATGAATAAACTGAAACTTTTTAGCAATGGGCAACATTTGCAAGGATCTGGCACATATACGATGCTGCCTGGCAAAACCCCTTCCAATCTGCCGAACTTATAAAACGATACCTAATGGGGCTTCATAAACCTATTTACCATCCAATGAGTGAGTAATTTACTTAACATTACTTCCTAATCACTTTTATTTATTATTTTAGACGATTGCGGAGACAATGTTATAGTCATCAACAGTTCAGAAATAGCACTACGAGGCGACGAATGGAAAAAACGCAGCTATTTCCATCATACAGGCTATCCAGGTGGAGCTACATGGACATTGGCTTGGGACTTGCACAGTAAAGATCCCACAATGGTCCTGAAAAAAGCAATTTACAATAGTATGGACGGTAACTTGCAAAGACGCTACACTATGGAGAGATTATTCATTTTTCCTGACGCTAATGTTCCTAGCAAACTGTTGGGTAACGTCTCTAATCAAATAAGGCAATTGAGGCCTGTACCGAAAAGGTTGGATCATTATACTGAAGATGAAGTGCAAACTTGTCCTAAGATTATTGATTATCCTACAGATTATGTTGTTAGGTAATTAGATGTTTGTATTATATAGGTTTTTTTGAGTTATTATTGAAAGGCAAGTTAATAAATATCATATTGAGGCAGTTTCTAATCCAATACAAATCCTTCATAATCACAAGTCAGTATTCCCTTATGTATAAGATATGAGTACTACACTTACCTGAATTGTTTGAGGTTTAATGCAAATGAACATTATGAGGGTTGGCCTTTTTTTTTGAGCCATAGTAAATGAAGAAAAGGGTCAAACCGACACTGATTAGGCCTAAAAAGACGAATATCATAAAAATAATCTTCAGCGTTCGAGGATTATGAAATGTTGTTTTAATCAGCTCCCAACAATTCGGAATGTTGGTGAGATTTGAAATTGCATATATGTACTTAAAAATTAATTTACTATTTTTTTGAGATCTGCGGCTGGTTGACATGAGTAATGACAAATAATTACATAATAATCAATAGTATATTACATACCGAGTAGGGAAGTGTTTCATTACTGTCGAGAGATTTATATAGTCAATTGACTATTAATCTCGAGACAGAAATGAAAACTTTCCTCCGAGGTTTGTATACTAAAGTGCGTTTTTTTTTTAAAGATAAAAGTCATAAATAAAAGTCAAACTGACATTAGGTTGGCAATACAATGTAAAATTGTCAATGCTTTCAAATTTTTCATGTAGAAAAGGCTTGTGTTGCCAACATAGTAACTAAATTTTTGACTTCGGGAATTATCTTTAAAAAAAAAACAGATTTTATTTTATTTGCAAGCACACAATTAATTATGATTAGTCAATCAGTTTTTTTGATATTAAAAAAATAAAACAAACATGCCAAAATGTGTCATTTACTGCTTTGACGTTTTTACATGACATGTTCTCATTGTTGCCAGTAAAGGTAAATAAATTAGAGTGAGGGAAATCGGTGAGGGAAGTCGAATAGGGAAATCGGTGAGGAAAATCGAAGAGGGAAGTGACACAGGTAAAGTGACACTTTCAAATTTTTAAAAAACCAGTAATGTCAAGATTACATATATGATTGCAAATAATAGTATATTACATACTGAGGTGGGAAGAGTTTCATTACTGTCAAGAGATTAGTTAGTTAACTGAGACGCGAAGCGTCGAAGTTAACTATAATCTCGAGACAGGAATGAAACTTCCTACCGAGGTTTGTATACTATTTTATTTACAAGAATTACAACCCTCATAATTTCGATTAAATACAAAAAAAAATAATAAAAATTTGTTGACAAGTTTTGACTCATTAAAAAAAACGTTTGACATGCAGGACTCGTCTTAAACATTTAAGGAAATGAGAACTTACTTTCCACCCGGGTGGAAAGTGAGCACTTTCCACCCGGGACCACTTTCCACCCGGGTGGAAAGTAAAATTCAAAAAAGTGTCACTTTCAAACTTTTGAAAAGTCAGAAACGTCAACATTACATATGTGGTTGTAAATAAAATTATTTATTAATTTGTGACAAACCCTAAATGCTTTATTAATAAAAATACAATAATAATAATTATCAAAAAATCACTTTTCAATATTCAAATCCTTGGCTATAGTAAATGCAGACACATGCATCATATTCTGCCTATTAGCTTTGAAATTTTCTATGGCTCTTCGCCGAGTAAATTCCCATTTAAACAAATCCCTGTACAAAGGCCTCACATACTTCATCCTGCCCACTGTGTTTATCCACCTGAACATGGCATCAATTTTGTCTTTCCATTGAGCCTTCAAGCATATTCTCAACCACAAAAACAACAATTCTGCATTTTTGGTTTGGTCCAAATTAAAAACAGAGTCCAGCTGTTTGAGCTTGTCGATTGGCTGCGGGTCTGCTTCTAAAATTTGTTGAAGAATGTAGATTTGCTGGGAAGCCATTAGTTTTTGAACTTCTTTTGATGTTATAGGTGATTCACCAGTTCCATCCCATTTATTGTATTTGTCAAAAAATTCATCGCAAATAATAGCTAACGTTTTGTCGTAATTTGGAACCACTGGGGGCATTCCGGGGGCGTGCAACCAAGTTTGCCAATCAATTTTTTCAATTTCTTGTTTGTTGGCAAAGTATTTTTTGAAATAATTTTTAAACACATCTGTATCAATTGATTGATATTTGTATTGCTCGAAATAAGAACGCAGGAACGGTTCCATTTCAGCTGGTCCTCCAATGACAGATTCCAAATATCTCAAAAATGTTTGGCCTTTTTCATAAGGGATAATGGAGAACGCTTCATCAGGATGGGTGCCTTTTAAATCAACAACTAGAGAGGTATGTTTGCCTCTGCGATTAACCTAAAAATATGATTTTTTAAAAAATAAATTTCGGAACAAATTTCTTCAAGGATAAATCAGAAGAATAGAAAATAAAAATAATAATACATGTCCCTAAGAAATGCCTCATGTTCTTGAAATCAGGTTTTCTTTTTTGGGAAACAAAGTATTTCTATAGAAAAAAAAATTTGTCATTGGGTGGAATCTTCAGATGAAATGATTGTTTTTTGCTGAAAAATAGGGTCTAGCCTAAACCTAAATTATTGCTTCACCTCTTCACGTAGAACACTCAAATGAGTATAAGCATCAAAATCTTGACTCTGCAAAGACTCCAATCGACCCTTAATTTTCCTCTCAATGAACACAGTGAAACCTTCATTAAGCCAAAAATGTTCAAAATTCCTATTAGTGACCAAATTACCGGTCCAACTGTGGGCAATTTCATGGGCTATTACATTCGCCAAACTTCGATCTCCAGCCTATAAATAACTAGCTGCATTTTTGTTGCAAATAATTGAAATATTTTACCAATAAAGTTGGTGTAACAAATGTCAAACAAGGATTCTCCATTCCGCCGTAAGGAAAACTAGGTGGCAACACTAATAAGTCGTATTTGCCCCACACATAAGGCCCGCATAAATCTTCAGCAGTTTTCAGTTGATGTTCTGTGTTCGCAAACTCATAAGCGCTTTCTTCGATAAGCTCTTTTTCAGACCTAAAAAAATGGGTTGAGCATGAGACAGTATTTAATAGTATATCATGACTGTTACCCTGATAGGTACTTGATATAAAAATAAATTCTGGGACAAAATGAAAATTCCTTCTTACCAAACAGTTGTTCTAGGCCCAATTTGTCTAGATTCCATCACTCCGACTGCGATTGCTATAAGATAAGAAGGCATTGGAACTTTTTGAACAAAATGCGATATTTTGCCTGTAGGCAAGGTTTTTGAACCATCTTGTAAAGCCGACATAAGCACAGTAAACTCTTGTGGCGCTGAAATCTAAGGGACAATAAATAATAAAATCCAATTCCAAAGTTCAAGTGAACTCACAGTTGCTTTGTATGGTGTTTTAACTCCTGGAGTATCTTGACAAGGTATAACCGAGCGAGCATGAGTAGGTTGAAATTGGCTGAAAAGATAGGGATGTTTGTGGCCTGCCGTTTCGCTAGGAGATAACCATTGAAGCCCTGTTGCATCTGGGGAAGTTTCATAGTCTATGCCAATTTGAAAACTGAAGGTTGCCTTATTATTTTGTTGTGGGAGCAGAAAAGTTTACTCACTTATTTGATTCTTTTTTAGGTAATTGTATGGTCAATTTTGAACCAAAATCTTTAACATTTTGGCTGAGCTCGTACGATAATTCCTGTTTTGTTTCCACATCATAAATTGACAATATGTTGAGCTTCATCGAGTCAAGAATCTTAAATTGATTGTGATTTAGTTAGTATGAGAAGTAAGTTTACATATTGAAAAGGTTCTCACAATTTCATTGGCTTTTGGATCAACTTTCTGGGCGCCAAGCAATACAGTTCCTGCCAGTATCTTCTTGTCAAAGTTAACATTTAAATTTAAATCGATCGAAGTAACTTTAACCAATTCTATATAGAGGCAATATTCCTGGTAAAATTTAAATTCTAAAATAAATTGTAACTTACCTGGTTTTGAAAAGGAACTCGGGTCCAGGTCGCTCAAGGGCGGTGTCGTTTCCATATTGCTTGCTTAAAGTAAAGGCCTGATACCTTCCAAAAATCTACTGATTCACTTTTGGTCACAACAAGGATTAAATATTAAATCAAATCGAATTAATGATAAGATATAAAATAAATCAAACAAAATTAATTATAAAAATAAAAATATTTTTTGCGGTTAGGTTTGAGTTTTGTTGTGTTGTGGTGACGTGACAACTAGGGAGCGTTCAGAATGGATTGAACTGTTTGAGCTGAATCCGGAATGGAGGGCAGGGCTAGTGCGGTGTTCGTGTCGTGCAGTGTTATATCACGTGATGAAGGTATAATCGGCGGTGTAACACCGAATGCACAATTTTGTACCGAGTAAACGGTATCCCACCATCTCGGCACCCAATTATTTCCAAAAGCGAATAAAGTGTACACCAAACTTACTCCTACCAATTAACAAATGTCACAGTGTCAATAGTGTAAAAGGTGTCGACAATAGCCGCTTTCCAGCTGTGTGCTTCAAGCACGATGCAGCACAGTGTTCTGTGTTTGAAACGCAAAAGTTAGCAGCTCTCGAAGCGCAGTACGGCTCGAACACGAACACGCGCTTGAAGCATTTGCGCGCGCAAAAGCTCGATTGCGTGCTAAAAAGCGTCAGCTGGAAAGCGGCTACTTTCAACCTTTCTACCATTCCGAACTCACCTTTGGGCGAAGTCCGGTGCAGAGCGCTACCCGATAGAGAGTGCACTTTGACTGTGTCCCTCGCCTCGATTTGCGCAATCCAAAAGGTCAAGACGCGACGCATTATCTTTCATGTAATATAGAGAATGACTATAAATGATGAGGACCATTCATTTCGGAAGATGCGGATGTGCTAGCGATTGCTATCAATTTTAGCATAAACCAACCAAAAAAGAAAAAGAGGCCATTTTTTTTTCTAATAGAGGAATGATAATGCATATGGCTTCTCTACTAACATTTTCAGATTAACTGCTCCAAAAACGCTCACCGTCTGGGAAGTGACGTCACAGATCTCTCCTGGAGTAGTTCGAGAGCGATTCTAATCCATTTGAAATTAATAGCCGAACGTACTTGATCGTTTTGATCAAACTCTTTCCTACTCTACCTCAACCATCAAATTTTGGGCCTGCGAGTGACGTCACTATCAGCAGCTTCTAATGATGACGTCACCCGTAGTCTTGATGGAATGCTCGCGATTCAGACTGTACTAGTAAGTTAATTTTTTCTTTGATTTTGAATGTAGAAAAGATGCTTTTCGGTCTGTTCTCGTAGAAGGAATTAAGTGTTCTTGATTCTCCTTGCGAAAAGTTGCCTATTGTTCAAGTCAAACAGGCGAATCTCTCCGAGAAAAAACTCCATTTCAAGCAGAACATGTGAATCTGTTTCGGGTTGCTTTTTGATCAATTGTTTTGAGGCGAAAGTCGAAAGCGTTTAAGTTCTTTATAAAAACATACACAAAAAAAAAATTACCCTACAACAACTATAATAGGCAATTTTTCGTGAGGATAATCAAGCAGTTGTATTACTTTCACACCTAGGAGGAGCTCCAATACAGCTCCGGGGCGTTAGGAGCTCATTCCTTTCGAAAAGGGTTTGTTGCACCAGAAGTACGCAAGCCCGAACTAAACCATTTAAATGGACGAAAGCCAGCGCATCTGTTCCTTTCAAATCGGGGTCGACTGACACCGGAACGTGTAGCTCTATTGTACTCTCTACTAAACTTTTGAAAAGAATACAATTACACAATCAAACGAACTTACCTGATGTTCGATTGTGATTATATGCTGTTGCACTTCGTCCGAATAGATCACTATATAACTTGTAGTACCTCTACTTTCTGCCAGATAGCGCCACAGAGTTTAAAGAAAAAAGGAACGCGCCCCACGCCTTGTCATGCTCCTTGACGGGTGACGCGTGAACTGTCAGTCTCTGTTTAAAGATATTTTTTCCAGTAAAGGCGGGGCATTGCACCCGCATTCAAAAATCCTCAAAAATCAGAATAATTATATGACATAAAGATATACCTACTCTTCATATGGGAGGGAAGGGTGGGGTGATCTATTCGGACGAAGTGCAACAGCATATAATCACAATCGAACATCAGGTAAGTTCGTTTGATTGTGTAATTATATGCATTTGCACTTCGTCCTCTAGATCACTATATAACTTGTAGCTGTTTAAAGCTCTTACTGGTAAAAATATTAATAAAGCAAAAAATTCAAATGTTAATACTTTAATGCATTTCATTTTTCCATATTTATCATTCATATTATGACTGAATACTGAATAAACAAATGTATAGATACATTAAGTATTTTGTTTTCTTAAAATAGCTTTTGCAAAACCAAATTCATTATAAAGGGGACGATGGTAAAATTGGGCAAAAGTCCCAGAATTTTCACTCCAACCAGCAGTGGTCCTAATAACATCAATAGAGATTCCTTGGCTCCATGCTTTTGATGTGGAAGCATGTCTAGTTGAATGAGGTTTAAACTGGTCAGTATTAACTCCGGCTCTCGTCATTGTTAACTTTACCCAATTTGATAAAGTTTGCTTGCTCAGTTGTCTTAATGGCTCCTTTTCAGTGATGAATAGAAATTCTAAGTTAGTTCGAAGAGTTGCTGTTCTTTCCAGATAATTCAGTAGTGTTGAAGCCACACAGAGTGATGGGTTTTCATCAAAAAATGGTATTGTCAAACAAGGCTGGCTTCTGCCTGGTTTAGAAGTTTTGATTATATCCGGAATAAGGATTTGTAATCCCTGTGGATTAACAATTATATTTTCTACTTTAATTAAAGAGAGGGTTTGTAACCTTTGGCCTGTTATGAGTGTAAGAAGCATTATTAGTTTCATGCCTAATTCTTTCAGTGACAGTGTTTCATTAGGGGTTTTTGTTTCTAAGTAATCCAGGACTATTTTAGGGTCCCACGTTATTTTGTATCTTGGTTTGCTTGGTCTTCTTTTTGAGATGCCCTTCAAAAATCTACAGATTATTAGGTTTCTACCTATATCACCTGGTAATACTAAAGCCAGTGCTGAACGACATGAATTAAAAGAACCATATTTCCACTTTTTAGTTTTCGACATGTGCTGTAAAAATTTTAGGACTTCAGTTACTTCTGCCGTATACGGGTTAACATTTGCTTCTTCGCAGAATTGCCACCATTCTTTATAAATAGAATTGTACTGTTTAAATGTGTTTTCTGATAGTGATTCCAGGCATGTTTGGATTGCTTCCTCAGGAATTTTCTTCAGTTGGAAGGCTTTCCCGACAAATGTGCTGCCACCAGGGTAAGTGTTGCTGCAAGTGGATGTTGAAGTCTAAAAGGAGAAGACAATAGATTAGGCTGTGGCTTAAACTTTATAGGCTGGCCTACTAGTAATTTTAGATAAAGTGGATACCAAGGTTGGGACTGCCAGTTAGGTAGAACAACTATGCCTTCAGCTTTATCTTGGACAATTTTGTTTAGTACTTTAAGTACTAATGAGAATGGAGGAAAAGCATACAAATATAGGTTTGTCCATGGCACAGTGAAGGCATCAATGGCCTCACATCCTGGGTCTTTTAGCCATGAAAAATATCTATCACATTTCGTATTTGCCCTAGAAGCAAATAGATCAACTTCTGGGTATCCATATTTAGCGACAATCATAGAAAAAGCTGATTGGGACAATTCCCACTCAGTTTCCTCTGACAATATTCGTGAACTTTCATCTGCTATGTTGTCTTTTGACTTTACATAAGAAGCTAAAAGCCATATATTTCGAGCCTCGCACCATTGCCATATTTCTTTAGTAATTTCATTCAATGCTGGATGTTGTACACTACCCATTTTATTTATATACGCAACTGCTGTGGTATTGTCCACTCTTAGCAGTATGCAGATTGATTTTCTGTCATTTACAAAACATTTGAGGGCGAAATAAATAGCTTTGAGTTCCAAAATGTTTATATGCAGCTCTACTTCATGACTGTTCCACCATCCATGAACTGTTTTTTCATTACATACTGCCCCCCAACCAGTTTTACTAGCATCAGTATAAATTTCAAATTGGGGTGTTTCTAACCTAATGTTGTTATATGCATGAAGCAAATTGATTTCCCACCAGTTCATGTCTCTTTTCAGATTATTGGATATTGAAACTACTTTATTATAATCCCCATTACACTTTTTCAAAGCTAAGTATTTTTCTCGCTCAATAGATTTAGTATACAGTCTTCCATATTTAACAGCTGGACAAATAGAAACTAATAAGCCAGCAATGTGAGCCAGGAATTTAATTTTACATTTAGAACTATTTTTCAACTTAGTAATTGAGTTCTTGATTTTGTTATATTTTTCTTGGGGAAGTTTTATAATCATGTTGTTTGTATCAAAAATAAATCCCAAAAATAAACAACTAGTTTTTGGGGTTAAATTGCATTTTTTAAAATTGACTAAGAAACCCAACGATTGTAATGTTTCTACAACAAACCTGGTATTTTTATTAGCTAATGAAATTGAGTCATGAATTAAAATCCAATCATCTATGTATGCAACACAAGCTATTCCCTTGCCTCTAAAATATTTTAGAATTGGTCTAATTATTTTTGTAAATAAGTAAGGAGCAAATGAGATCCCAAATGGGAGAACTTGAAACTCATAATAGTTACCTTCAAAATGAAATCTTAAGAATTTTTTAAAGTTTTTATCAATTGGTATTGCAAAATAAGCATCCTTTAGATCAATTTTTGTTAGGTAGGAATTTTGTTCCAGCAGCTTACACACTGTTCGCCCATCCTCCATTTTAAAATGGGGTGGATTCAAGAAAACATTTAAGTTTTTTAAGTTAAGTATAAACCTGTATTTTCCATTTGGTTTGTCCACTAAAAAGTAAGACGAAATAAACTGACCTTCAGTAGCTGCACACAGTTTTACTGCACCTAGATTTATTAATGAATTAATTTCCAGTTTAAGCTTTGTTTTCTCACTGTTGGAGAAACGCCTGTTCACGATTCCATTTTGCTGTTGAGGGGTTGAATGGAAAGGAATTTTGAAACCTTTCAACCAGGAAATTACTGCTTCGGAAGCTCCCAGGGCTTTCCAATTTTGTATAAAATATGGCAACCTACCTACTGCTGGTAAGGGTAAACTACAACTTACTTTTATTTGTTCTTCCTCGGAAATTGTTTTTTCTTGTAATAAACACTTTG